GCTTGAGCCTGGGAGGTGGAGGTTACAGTGAGCAGAGATTGTGCCGCACTCCAGCCTGGGCAACAGAGCAAGACCCCATCTCAAAAAAAGAGGGGCAGAGAGAAGTGGAGAGGAAAAGTCCAGGAGAATAGAAAAAGGGGAAAGGAGAAAAGAGAAAGTGGAAGAATTGCCTGATTAGTAATGAGCACTTTTCTGTCCTGCTTGTTCTGCTCTTTGAAATTAAGAGCTTAATAAAGTCTGCATCTCCTGTCATGTTTCTCAAGTGAAGATCACACACAAAAATCATGCTCACATGGTTGGAGGAAAGATTATTTTAGTTGGGTTGTGAAGGATGGGCAAAATTTAGATACTGGTAAAAACTAGTTTCCAAACAAAATAACAAGCAATTGAAAAATTTGCCATAGGTTCTTTCAACTAGAAATGACCTAATATCAGATATGCTCTAGAATTGTTGATACAGTCATAGCAAACAGGTGAGAAAAAAAAAAAAGCAATGCCTTATATGCATCCATAGTGAATGTGTGTGCTCACTGATGGAGTACAATAATATGCCAGCTGTCATTTACCAGATGATAACAAAGTGGCTGATGCTGCATTAAGTGCTTTATATTTATATAAATTTTATTAGTCAGGAGCAAAATGGCTTACTCGTAACAAAGGTGCCCTTAATTGACAGAAAACAATCTATTCAGGTGGTCAGAAAAATTGACCTAGAAGTGAGGAGAGAGGCAGGGATTCATTACAGGTACACAGAAACAAATACACTGATCAGGAACTCACAGCTATCCATATCCAGGTTCGTCAGTTAGATGACTCACTAGCTAAACAAAATCAGAGCTGTCCCTTAGACAATGGGAGAGAATTCAACTTAGTAGCTGAGCATAGTTTCATTCTTAATATTTATATTCCACATCAAAAAAGAAGATAAGCCATTTGTTAAACAGCCTTGTATTAAATATCCAACAGGAAGAAATCATTTCCTCAAACTTAGAGGACTCTGATATATACTATCAAAACTTATTCGTAGCATTGGTAAGTATATTTCTTTTCATAGAGCCATATATGTTTAGTACCAGCAGAGAACAAAAGCTTCTTGACTATAGCTTATTCAGTTTAGCTCTTGCTTGCTGTCGGATCTCTTCTTCAAGTTGTTCACACACAATACGTAGGAGGAAAAGAGGCTATCAAGCTGGCCATCAATCAATCTGAATCAGGAAGGCAAAGCTTATAGTAACTAAACAGATTTTTGCTCAGTAGAATGAATTTATGTTAGCATACGTGGAGGGTGGGAAGTGTTCAAGATTGTTTTAATTATTTTCATAACTAATTACAATCAGAAGATAAAAAAAGAATGAAACACATTTGTCACTGAATCTAGTTCATATACCCCATGAATTTTTTCTGGTTGTATTTATGTATCCTTCCTCCTAGATGACCCAATCATTTTGGTATAATCATCAACCAAATTCAGCAGCAATCTAAAACAACTATCACATGGCAAACAGGATTAGATGGCCCATATAACAGTGGGATCACTTTTATCTTCAGGAAAACCAGCATAGGTGCTAAGATCATTAAGAAGCTCTTATACTTTAACTGCTATAACCGTTTTCTAACTTACTTACACCACAGTTCTGTAACCAATTTTCTTTCCATAGATATGAACTAGGCTTAACCTGATTAACAAAAGTGTTTTCTAATTCTTTTCTACTCATCTTAAAAATGTACAAAACCTCCTAATTAGAATATCTGATAAACGATTAAGAAAGCCAGTAGGTATAAGAAATAAATAACTGGATTTTATCATTGAGAATACAGTTAATAGGGAATCTAAAATGAAAATTTAAAAACATAAATAACTAAAAATGATAGAAATGATAAATTTGATAGAGTTCCTCAAATGTAAGGCATTGTAGTTAAGAGTTAGCATTATTTAGATAGCTTAAGTCTTTTAAATTACTTAGATCTTTCCCCCACCCTTGTTTTTTTTTTTTTTTTAAATCTGGTGGACATTTATATGAAATTAATTTCTCTTGTGGCACAGATTGATCTATTTCTACCAAAACTTCCTTGGCCAAAATCCTACAGCGAGTTTTAAAATAATCTGTTTCTCTTTGTTTTTAAAGCCAGTTTTTACTTGCATTCTCTGTTGAAGAATTATTCAGTTCCCTGGTCAGGTAAAATTGGTATATTAGCAATTTTCTACTCATAATGTAAACATAATTATATTAGAATGTGCTACATTAGAGTTAGGACAAAAATCAGTGACACAAGTTCTTTTCTAACTTTTCCATCAGTAGTTTCAGGGAAACATCAAGAGTGGTTGGGCATTGTATTAGAACATCTATGGAGCTTCAAAAAATATATTTACACATAATACATAAAAATATAAATATATACATATATAGGCATTCCTGGATCCTAGCACCTAATATACTGCTTCAGAGTAGGATCTGGACTTCGCAGTGTGTTCTAAGTTCTAGAGGTGAAAATTGCTGCATTGTTACTCCTTAAACCAGTATTTCTGAATGTTGGTCTTTATACCCATTTTAGTCGATAACAAGAGTTTTCACTAGGCCATAGTGAAATGAAAAGCCAGGAAAGCTAAACTTATCCCAATTTAATTTATAAATTATTTTCCTTCCCTTCCACCCCCCCCCCACCTTTTTGATATTAAAATAGTCTCCCTTTTGTTAAATAATGTTGATGGTAGATATTTATAATATAATGACTTGGCAAAATAAAAAGTTGGTAACACGTATGTAAATAACCCAGCTGTTCCACCTTTTTTGAGATTTTACAGATCTGTGAAATTCAAAAGTCTGGACATTTCTGCCTTTAAACAATTTAAAGCAAAAAACATGTTAGAACGACTTGGTAAGTGGGAGAGATGAACCATTGGTACCATCTTTTAAGGTTAGGAAACGTAATTATGCTCTAATTTGGAAAACATCTGAAAGACTTCACTTCTCTATCTTCTCTACTAAGCCCTTTGTCTTGTGAATTCTCTTCCTCTGCTGATTCTGCATGGCTTTCTATCCTATTCAGTATCAAGTTCTGATTTTTTATTTATTTTGTTTTCATTTCATTTCTAAGTATTGCTCAATGATCCCTCCCTCTGTGATATGGTTTGGCTGTGTCCCCACTCAAATCTCATCTTAAATTGTAGCTCCCATAATCTCCACATGTCACGGGAGGGACCCAGTGTGGGGGTAATTGAATCATGGGGACAGGTTTTCCCATGCTGTTCTCGTGATAGTGAATAAGTCTCATGAGATCTGATGGCTTTATAAAGGGGAGTTCTCCTGCATATGCTCTCTTGCCTGCTGCCATGTAAGACATGCTTTTGTTCCTCCTTTACTTTCCACCATGATTGTGAGGCTCCCCAGCATGTAGAACTGTGAGTCCATTAAACATCTTTTCCCTTATAAATTACCCAGTCTCAGGTATTTCTTCATAGCAGTATGAACATGGACTAATACACTCAGGATAAGTTGCATTTTCTTCTTTTTTTTTTTTTTTTTTTTTTGAGATGGAGTCTCGTTCAGTCGCCCAGGCTGGAGTGCAGCGGCAGGATCTCGGCTCCCTGCAAGCTCCGCCTCCCGGGTTCACGCCATTCTCCTGCCTCAGCCTCCCAAGGAGCTGGGACTATGGGGGCCCGCCGCCACGCCCGGCTAATTTTTTGTATTTTTAGTAGAGACGGGGTTTCACGGTGTTAGCCAGGATGGTCTCAATCTCCTGACCTCGTGATCCGCCCGCCTGGCCTCCCAAAGTGCTGGGATTACAGGCGTGAGCCACCGCACCCGGCCCATAAGTTGCATTTTCTAAATAAATTCCTCAAATAGAAATTATTCCACAAGTTCCTTAGTTCTATAATATCTCTTATTTACTTGAATTATCGAGGGCAATAATCTGTCATTTTTGTTTCTGCTTTTTTTTCTTTTTTCTTTTTATTATACTTTAAGTTCTAGGGTACATGGGCACAATGTGCAGGTTTGTTACATATGTATACATGTGCCATGTTGGTGTGCTGCAACTATTAACTCAAAAAGGAACATTGACATTGCCAAAAATTTAGAAAATCACAAAAAAAATCACAAAGGAGAAAATTAAAATAAACCACAATTCCACCAATTAGAGACAATCATTGTTAATATTCTGGTCATATTCAACCAATACCATATATAGTATCATTAACTACTGTTTTAAATCAGGATTTTTTAAATGTGAATATACTACACTCAAGGATATAATTTAGTTTATAACTCCTTGACTCAATTTATTTTTAACAAGAAAAGTTTAAGAACCAGTATCTCTTACTTATTTCTTAGTTCCAAATCAGAGCACAGTAAAAATATATAAATACAAACAAAAAGAAGCCAACCACATGCCAAAACTTGAAAGATCATAACAGCTCTATCATTTAGCTATATACTATAATCCTTTTCTGATTAAATATTCAATTTAAATGTTATTCATCTTTACATTCTTCATCATGTTCTTGTTTTTGTTGTTTTTGTTTGTGTTGTTTTTGAGACAGGGTCTTGCTCTGTCACCCAGACTGAAGTGCAGTGGTGCAATCACAGCTCACTGTATTCTCAACCTCCTGGGCTCAAGTGACTGTCCCACCTCAGCCTCCCAGGTAGCTGGGACTACAGGCGTGCACCACCATGCCCAGCTGATCTTTTTTTTTTAATTTTTTTATAGAGACAGGGGTCTTGCTATGTTGCCCAGGCTGGTCTTGAACTCCTGGGCTCATGCGATACTCCCACCTCAGCTTATCAAAGTGCTGAAATTACAGACATGAGCTTTGCACATGTTTTTTTGTGACTATCAATTATAGGGAACTTTCCATGTGTTGGGTAGGCTGAGCTTTACATTAACTTATTTAATGTTTTAAACAAATGATTACACAAAACAAAAATAACTTAGGTATGTACCAGACTAGCAATCATAGATTCATATATTTCAATATTAGAAACACTTGAATTTTACTTTACCTTGAACAAATTTGACACAGTGACTGAAGAGAAACACTGGGCATATAGGTTAAGGCAGCATTGTAACACAACAAAAGGAATGTCAACACTTCAAACCTAAAGAGAAACAAAAAGAATATTACCAAATCTTTAGAATTCTAAGAAGTCAACTATAATAGGGGAGAGGGCACTCCTTGGGGAGAGATATAATGTTACAGAACAGACCTGCACAGTATAAGCACACCAATAATGAAAAACTACAAGGAAAAAAAGACTTTCCAAGTAACAGCCATATGAAACCTGTCTTTAAAATTCAATGTTCCAGCTGACACCTGAAGCAAGGCACACTGACAAATCTAGATCTATTTTTCTCTTGTATAAAATGACTCAATATTCAAATAAATTGTCACACACAACTCATTAAACATTATTTATAAATCTACTGAAATAATATTCTTAAAAAATTAGTGGAGTAAGATAAGAATTTTTATCCCCACAGTATACCTATTCTGTGCTGTCAGCATCTCCCTTTGAGGATGAGGTCCACTGTATACCACTTTTGACAAACCATGCTGGGATAGTGCACTCTCGGTCAGAGCCATGGACCCAATGCTGGAAGGCTAGAGAAAAGACATTTGAATAAAGAAAAAAAAAAGCTATTCTACTGAAAAGGTGATACTTAGAATATATATGTACCACTAAAATAGCTACCACGAAGAACATCATATATCTTAAACACATTTAGGATGCCTACCAATTTTTTTGCTCAAAGATTTAATAACTAATTTTAAAACAAACCACAAATGAGAAATAAAAATTAGTTTAATTTCAAAAATTCTACCATGGAAATACACAATTGCCCCCACTACCCCCGCCAACACACACAAGTAGCCATCCATCAGGAGGAGTGAAAAATATTTCAAAAAGAATACTTTCAATAGATCTCTTATTAGCAGATTTTAGTTTGATGTTCAATTATTTTGATTTCTCATCTCAATTTGGAAATAGTAAATACTTTGCGGGTATTTATACTTTTGCAGGTACTAATAAATTGATCAATTTTTTTTCCTAAATAACTAGATTATAACTTGTGGCAATGTCAAAGCTTAGGGTCAATAAACTTGTTATGATAAAATGTCACTTACTTCATGATATACAGATGGTTTGGATAAAGATGGAATTGTAAAACTCAATACTTTGCTATGTCCCTGTTTGTCAACTATTTCCTATAGAAGTGAAAGAAAATATATTAAAATACATACTTTCTTACACATAAATTTACAAACTAAATTTAAATAGTCTAAAACATTTTTTTAAAAAGACCTGAATAGAAAGGAATTTTAACTTAAAATCTTAAACCATGATAATCCATTATTATTCATCAACACCGGCAGTTAAACTGTACATCCTTCCACTTAAAAAATATATGTAACATAATTTTCAGGATGGCTGAGATACAGATATAGTGTCTTAATAATCCTTGATCTTCCTCATGTAACAAGTTATATTTGTTAAGTGAAGTAATCATTTAAATATGAAATATGTGAAGAAAATGACCTCACATTTCTTTTCCATTTTGAAAGGTACAAAACTTAAGTATCTAGAATACCATACTAATTAATATACAAACTCTATTAGTAAGGCAAGCTATATGTTAAAACAATGTTGTACACTCTGGAGACAGTCTAGATTTTATAGAACTATAATTGGTGAATATTAGAGTAAATCTTTTCTCCCAAACCTTCTGTGAAGGTCAGAAACAGATCATTTATAGGCAATGAACTTTAAGTTTACAAAATTTAAAATGCAACACTGATATTTTCAGATATCGCTATAAAAGAAATGAAATGGTCCGATTTTCAACCTTCAATTAATCCATAAAGGTATAGTTACATAATTACCTATATGCTTGTATGTCTCCCAACCCCCAGAAAGTTATATTTGGAAGAATGGGCTATGAGTCATTTGACATATGAAAAAACAAACACTAGCTTCATTAAAATGATAAGCAGTTGCACAGGTTATATATTTGATTTTCTCAAAAAAGATTTTGTTAACTCCATTAAATACAAACCAAATTGTAAACCCCTAGAAGAAGAGCTTCAATGCATCCACTGCTATGCACATTTCTGCTGGCTGAGACTGCAAGGTAGCACCAAATTAGTTCTGGGAGAAATTGCAGCGTAAATTGAAGCAACTGCTCCTCTCCACTGCGATAGAATTCAAAGAGCTGGTGACAGACAGGTTCCAGCAACTGGAAGAAACACAAAATGTTAATTCAAGAACTGGACTGTATTTGAATGGAACTACTATATGAAGTATAAAAGGTTTTCTCAGATTGGTAAAAATCATGTCTTTTTAAATTCTTAAAATACCTAAGTTGTAGGGAGTTTCTTCCTAAAATATCCTTTCTTCCTGGTAAAACACATGCCAATATATAAAGGTTTGACTATGGGGTTGAAGAAATTGAAATGGGAATCCTGGGTACTTACTGTCCTATCTCCCTCCTCCTGAGTTTATAATTAGGCAACATCTGACAGCAATGATTGGTGTGTAGGGGGGCTAAATAACTACAGACCCCCCTAGATCTAGATCCCTATTGTGACCATGACTAATTGGCCCTGGAGAGTCTAAAAATTGCTGTAATTTTATTTTAAACATAATTTGGAGTCATCCACAACCTTTTCCTCTCCCACCACACTCTCAACATTATCCAGTTAACAGAGCTGACTGCATCTTTATAAGGGGCTTTAAGAAATCACATAGGCAAGGTAAGACCCTCTTACAGGTAAGTATTCTCTTAAAGCATATACAATGATCACACACAAGTCATACTCAAATATGTTAAAAGATTCACAAGGTACTGTTCACAAGGTACTGATTTTTCAAGCAAATTCTCAGGCTATTTATTATATATATATCCAATGAACTACACTTCACTAAGGCAACAAATTTAAATAAATATACTAAACAGATTTTCTACAACCAATAATGGTAATGAACAGAAACTAATTTACAGTGGATGTTTTGATTTCAAGTAAGTAAAATATGTAAACTGAATATAATTAAAGTCAATATTGTTTATAAAAGGTATAACAAAAGTTATACTTCAATAAACATTGACTAAGTCAAATTAGTCTTTCCTATTGAAAAATTAATAAACTTCTGACAGTTAATCTTCCACAAGGAATACTTTTTCTACTCCTGAAATGGTCTTTAGAGGCCAAGAGATGTCCAGTGTGGCCATGGAAAGACAACAGAAAAACAGAGGGGCAGGAGGCAAAGTCATCCCATTCAGAGATAGCAAGAGAAGTTTTTAGCGCAGGAATTTGAAAGAAGGGGGTTAGAGGTGGCTGGAAGAAAGAATGACTGGTTAGGGATGTTTTAGCTTTCAGGGCGGAGTTTTTAAAATTTTCTTTGTGGACCCATATCAATAATCTCGAATTGTGGCATAACATCCCTCATCTCTAAATCCCTCAGAAAGCTAAATCAATTGAGATAGTCTAACAAACACTGCAAAATTATGAAATCTTTTTTTTTTTTTTTTTGAGACGGAGTCTCGCTCTGTTGCCCAGGCTGGAGTGCAGTGGCCGGATCTCAGCTCACTGCAAGCTCCGCCTCCCGGGTTCACGCCATTCTCCTGCCTCAGCCTCCTGAGTAGCTGGGACCACAGGCGCCCGCCACCAGGCCCGGCTAATTATTTTGTATTTTTAGTAGAGACGGGGTTTTCCGTGTTAGCCAGGATGAGTCTCGATCTCCTGACCTCGTGATCCGCCCGTCTCGGCCTCCCAAAGTGCTGGGATTACAGGCTTGAGCCACCGCGCCCGGCCATTATGAAATCTTACTTGAAAATTTATTCAAGACAGTTTGTATGAACATATAATTTTAATCAAAACATACTCAAAAGGCTTTACAATCCATTTAAAATCCAAAATTTAGAGTTTTTGCCGTACAAAAGTATAACTTAATGAAGACCGATTCAAAGAGGAGGTAGAAATATATCACAACAAGATTAGATGAAATTATGCATTTGAAATTAATACAGATAAATATCAATATCTGTGAAGTGTGTCCCAGATTGCGAAGTACTTACACATACATAAACCCATTAAATTCCCACAACACTGTAGGGTAAAATATCATTATCCACACTTTCCACAGAAGGAAACTAAGACAAAGAGGCTATCCGCTATGACCAAAATCACATGGCTTACAAGGGTCAGACCTGGAGCCAGGTATTTTGACTTCTTTACTAACATACCTGAAAAATGTCAGGAAGAATAAAATTATATACAGTGTGGGAAATATGGACAGTGTCTGACATATCTAATTTGACTATATTTGAAGCAAGCAAAGGAACATCAGAACCTGCTGTGTTCCTGGTGTCTGGGTTGCATTTTTTAATGTATTTTTTTTTCATGGAAACTGTGTTATTTATCGTGGTTACGTTTTACAGTACTATTAAGAGAGACTGTACCTCAAGTATACTTATACGTGTTAAATGGCTTTTTTGGGTTTAAGGAGAACCTAGTCACCACGTGTCATCTCTCCATTGTAAAATATATTTTGAGTTCTAAAAGAGCTAAGCCGCAAATGGATTTTTACAACAATCCATTCATAAGTAAGAAGTCTGTATTATAACAGAGATTTCTAGTGGTAATAGGCATATGACTCAAAAATGCTCTTTAGTGACTAAGTAAGGAAAATGTTCTTTAATGACTAAGCAGGAAAAGAGTCAAGTTTTGGTAAATTTAGAAGGAAAATCTTGTAATATTTTTTGTACTGAACAATTACTGAGGAACATTGGGTAGGAAAAGGATACGGAAAAGTTGGAGAACATTAATATTCAGGAACCAGCAGCTACTGGTACCGGACCTCTCTCTTCTCTGGACTCCAGACTCCTAGAACTCGAAGGGGACTTTATGTAGGTCTTTCAAAAAACAGCTGATTTCATAACAGACTTAAGCAGTATTAACCTCTACTCATATGCCTGTCTCAAAGTTATAGTCAACTAAAAGCGCCATTTAAGCAAATTGCACTGTACCCATATAAACTGCCTCTTTATAAGTTTCTTGAACACATCACACATCCCAGGGCCTTTCCACCTACAGTTCATTCTCCTGGAAGGCTCTTGCCCCTGATTCCACTCCAACTCCTAATTCGTTTGGATCTTGATTCAATCACCAACTTCCTCAGCCCCAACATATATTTCCCTTCATTTTATTTATCCTTATAGATTTATCACTAACTGACATAGTATTATATGTTTAGCTATTTGTTTAATGTCTATCTCACTAACTAGAAAACAAGTTTTAATCTACAAGATCAATAATTTAGTCTATTTTATTCTCATAATTCCTAAGTGGTTCCTGATACATTATATGTGTTTAATAAATATTTATTAAATGAATAAAACTGAATAATGAAAAAGTACTATTAGTAAAGTTTAAATGCCAAATTCATTGAACTTCAAATAATACCAGAAACAATATCTCAAATTTCAAAAATTCTGGAAAACAATAATATCAACTTGTTAGGAATATTTTCAAATTAAGACACAAAATATTCTAAACAGCAAAAGGGAGGTTACAATGTTAAAGTAGATTACACTTTTGTATTTTAGAAGCACTTCCAAATATATTTGAAAGAGCGAGTGTTTTTTTTAAGAATACAGAATACACACTGTCTTTACCACATGAACCAGAATAAAAGCACAAAACAAACTAACATGCAAGACCAGAACCAGTGCTTAGGAAAGTATGGTCCCGAGGATCATCCACAAACTGTTACCAGTCTCCAACAATATAAACATAGAAATTGAGAGGAAACATTTAGAAACTTTTATAGCAACTTAATATTGTGGCAACATCCAAGTGAGCCATCAGATTTATCAGAGTATACATCAGTTATGGAATATCAAATTTGTGTGGTGCCTCACACTGTGGTGTGAGTTGCATGTTAGTCACGTACTTTAGATACACATATTTGTCTGTGACAGATTACAATTTTTTAAAAAAACTGGTCCGTCATCACTAGTAGTTTCAGAAACATTGCTCTGAACCATCAGAGCTATATTCACTAGCATTATCTGAATAAAAGGAATGCTATAAACTAATCTAGCCAATCATAAATTTATCCTACAAACTCTTTCCAAAGTAGCCTAGTTAAAACATACTTCATCAGAGGAATAATTTTTAAGCTTCTCAAAATAATAAATAATACATGAGCATCAAGATTTAATTTGTTAAAAAACATAAATCACATGGCTATACTTACCCTATTTTGTGAAATAATTCTAAACCAAACATGCAAAATTTTAAAACAGCTTTCACTCAATATTTAAAAAGTAAAACCCTTCAAGAAAACAGCCTACCTGTGCATTCTATATAAGTTAAGAAGTTTTGGGGAGAAGGAAGAGACAAGACAAATATGATTGTTCAATTCAGTTATTCCAGTTAAAGTTTTTTGGCTTGTCAATATATACTCCCTAATCCCTTCAGCACCTAAAATTCATGATATGCATTACAGTATAACCAGTAGGAGTGGGCTATTCGACACCCCCTCCAAAAGAGGTTAACTACTCAAAAGAAGATCCTCCCTCAATTTTGGTAGTTTAATTCCAGAGATACGTAGATCCATATTGGACTGGACTCCAGGATATGTTACTTTACCACTGAATCTGCTGTTAGTCTATCATGCCATCCATCAAACTCAAGTACAAAAGGAATTATGTACTTCAGATCCCTCTCTTCTACCATACCTCTTTCCACTCCCCCTGACACTGCTCAAGTTTAGGTTCTCAACAGCTCCCTCCTAGTCTACTGTCATAGCTTCCTAGTCTTCTTGTGTTACCTATTTTTTCATTTGCCAATCTATCCTCCACATAGCCACCTTCCTAACCCCTCAGTGCAGAGTCTAAACTGCTTAAGATGGAATTTGACGCCCACCACGGTTACGTCCTAAACCTAGCTTTCTAGCTTCAGCTCCTATCACAGCCTTACCCTCTCTTGTTAACTACTGTGCTAGCCTATTCACTTTTTCCAAAAGTCGTACCTTTTTATTTTTCATCCTATCTCCAATTTTTTTCTATTTCTACTATGAATAGTAGGATTTACAAGCACCAGAATCTGGAGTATAGATTATTTTATTACCTTCAAACTAAATGGGCAGCTAGTGGGGTGCAGTGCCTCATGCCTGGAATCCCAGCACTTTGGGAGGCTGAGGTGGATGGATCGCTTGAGCCCAGGAGTTCGAGACCAGCCTGGGCAACATGGTGCAATCCCATCTCTACCAAAAATACAAAAATTGGCCAGGTGTGATGGTGCATGACTGAAGTCCCAGGTACGGGGGTGCTGAGGTGGGAGGATCACTTGAACCCGGGAGGTCAAGGCTGCAGTGAGCCATGATCACACCACTGCACTCCAGCCTGGGAAATAAAGTGAGACCTTGTCTCAAAAAAAAAAAAAAAAAAAATCTAAATTAGCCATCAGAAAAAGGAAAGGGTGGTAGTGGGGGCAAGAGGAAAGACTGGGAAAGGCAATAGCCAGACTAAACTATTTGCCATTCTTTAAATGCCTTTCATTTTCTGAGCCTCCGTATACTATCCCCACTGCATGGAATATTCTTTTACCTTGCCACCTGGAAAACTTGTGCTTATCCGTAGACTGGATTAAGGATTGCCTTGAAACCATGTGTTTACTTATTTTCTCCCACTTTCCTCTTTCAGGATAAAAACCATGTGTTACTCAATTTGATTCTCCATTGCCTAGCATAGTTGAAGGGCTCATAATGGACACTCAAATACTTGCTGAATGAATAAAATGAAATGTAGTGACATAAACTTTTCAAAGCTACCTCTAGCGAGAGAGAAAGAGAGAAAATGTTCAGAGATGGCTTTTGGAATATGGTAATAAATTCTATTTCTTGGCTTGGGGAATGGTACACTAAAGTTCATTTCAGTATTGTTCTTTAAACATATATATTTTCTTACCCTTTTATATAGATTTGACAATGAAAAATTAAAAATCAATCAAGTCAATACTACTAGCACAATAAACCATAAAAGTACTTACCTCACTTTGTGGCTCCTGGATAACTTTATAGAGAGATGAAACTAAAGAACTCTTGTCTTTCAAATTTGTGGCATAATTTGGTAAAGATGTTTCTGGTAATGTCTAAACAAATTTAAAAAAATACATTTTATTTTTATGAAATGTCCAGAATAGGCAAATCCATAGACGCAGAAAGTAAATTAGGTGTTGCCAGGACTGCAGAGGGGAGAGGAAGATTAGGAGTGACCAACAGGTATGAAGTTTATTTTTGGGGTGATGGAAATGTGCTGAAAGTAGATGCTGGCATTGGTTGTACAACACTGTGAATATATCAAAAACCAAGGCAAGGTAAACATGTTTACCTTAAATTAGTAAATTTTATGTTATATTAATTATATCTCAACAAAACTTCAAAATAAAACAAAAAATATATTTTATCCTCTTATCAACAAGGACATAAACTAACATCAACACTTCATCTTCGATCACAGTTTGGGATTAGAGATAAGAATATAGGCCAGGCGCAGTGTCTCATGCCTGTAATCTTAGCACTTTGGGAGGCTGAGGCAGGAGGATTGCTTGACCCCAGGAGTTCAAGACCAGCCTGGGCAATATAGTGAGACCTCATCTCTACAAAAAATAAACAAAATTAGCTGGGCATGGTGGCACATGCCTGTAGTCCTGGCTACTCGAGAAGCTAAGGTGGGAGGATGGCTTGAGCCTGGGAGGTCAAGGCTACAGCGAGCCATGATTCCGGCACTGCACTCCAGCCTGGGCAACAGAATGAGACAGGGTCAAATTAACTCCGGAGTTACATACTGTGACTGTTAAGCATGGGAAGGCTGTTCTACTTTACCAACTGAGGGGAAAATTTAGAACTTTCAGAGCTAGAGAAAAAGAGATCCACACTACCAACAAACTAATTTTCCTAATGCCATTTAAAATGTGGACAACGAGTCACAGCTTGCCAGCACCACCTATTCAGAACGAACACCATGACCAGAGAAGAATGGGAAGAAATAAAACTCCAGTAGTAAGTCAGATGATTTTGAATAAAAGTGTAGGGAAATCTGAAAACAAAAACATTTCATTATCATAATGATAAAAACCTTTCCTTCTGGAGTACACCCCCTCCTCAGATATCTGTGACAGACAGCGATATCTGTCTCCTAAGTCATTATTCTATCTCACCCAAATTACTTCCTTCCGTCAATCAATGTCAATCCTGAAGTAGATACCATGTCTCAGGATATTCCTAACTCACTCTAAAGTATACATTATTCCTTATATGTCTCATATCCTAGTATTTCAAAATTTAATATGGGTTATGATTAGCGTATAGGTGAATGTGTGCATAAATTAAACAGCATAAATTTTTACAATAAAGACATTTGATTCATTTTCACTTTACTGTGAGTTCCTTGAGGGCAAGAACTCTTATCATCTCTCCATGCACAGCACTCACCACAAGGCCTCATACACAAATCTTTGCTGAGGGAACATATTACAGATAAACAAAATAAGAAATAAAAATTGCCATTGTTTATACTTTGGTAGATTCTTTAAAAGTGGGTCACATTTCACCTTAGGATACATAAGTGAATAGATTTTTTTTTAAAGTTTAATAAGAGTTTTATTTACCAGAAGGGTAAGCAAATGTGGACTATTTGGAAACCTTTCACAATTCTCCAGAGTGGGGAAAAAAAGGTTTTACTGCAACTGCTTACATAAAGAAGAGATTAAGGCATTCTTCAATATTTCAAAACATGACACAAAAGATCTCCAGGCAACATTCCATTTCCGTCATTTGATCAAGAGTAACCTAATACTTGGGGAATTTATATAAAAGGGAATAACAGTCAAATAAACAGCAGATTCCTAATCCTCTGAATAAAAATAAATCTAAATTATGTATAAAATGCACTATATATATTTAAAACACATTGATGTCTAACTTATGTAACTAAGTATACATGTCTAATATATATGTCTAACTATAAAATTAAAGAATAAATGAATCAAAATACATATCTTTAGAAAAATTATTAGTGAATAGAAAGATTATTATTATATATACATATATATATGATCTAGGCTAAAACTAGATCATTCATTAAAAACATGAATTACAATGTTCAGCTTATATACTAGCTGACTGTCACGAGGTAAAATATTTTCTGTGAAACACCCAAAGGCAAAAAGACAGCTGTTTTCTGAAAAGACAAGCTCTAGAAAATACCATGGACCCAGGTTACCACTGATAAATGAAAGGAAGGGTATCTTAAAAATTAGTGCAGTAATAATACCTTTTATTCACAATTCTGACATTTCATTTAATGAATGTGGGAAAAGTTAATTTTGTCTGTAGAGAGGGAGAAAATATAACTGTTGTGTTCATAAATGGTGCTTTAAAAAACAAGATCTAAAAGAGCCAAATGAATTTAAATACTATTATAGCAAAAACATTTAAATTTTCATGCACTGTACTAGTTCAAAGGTACTGACCTTCTTAAATACCAGCTTAGCTTTCTCATATTTCAGAAGGCATAACGAGTTGAAAAGTACCTAATGGAAAATTATGTTGGTATATTATTCTTGGCAAAATTTGACATCGGGTGTGATAGCTCACACCTGCAATCCCAGCACTTTGGGAGGCCGAGGCAGGTGGGACCCCGTCTTTAGTAAAACTACGAAAATTAGCCAGGTATGTGGTGCCATGCGCCTGCAGTCCCAGCTACTCGGGAGGCTGAGGCAAGAGAATCGCTTGAACCCGGGAGGCAGAGGTTGCAGTGAACCAAGATCGTGCCACTACACTCCAGCCTGGGCGAAGGAGCGAGACTCTGTCTCGAAAAAGAAAAAAAAAAAATTTGAAGACAGATGCCTCATACTAAAGTATCATTTGACAGATGGTTTTTCAAAAATGTGAGGAGGTGATATGGGTTGAGTAGCAGAGAATTAATCAAGATGGACAGATGGGTGAAGAACCAGTAATTAAAACAACCCTGTTCAACAACATCACACATAAGATTTGATTTTGAGTCACATATTGAGATTCAGCAACTATCAGAAAATTTTAAAAAATTAGGAGTCCGGAAATCTGCTAGATAAATCTACCACACAGCAGTAACAAAAATAACATAATCTGAAACATAATATTTTATAAATAAATCTTTGAAAAGATAGAGCTTGAACTATTCATGAAATCTTAAAATAATGAAGTCCTAAACTAATCATTTAGTTGGTATATAAAGAAAATAGGACAAGCACAGTGGCTCACACCTGTAATCCTAACACTTTTGGGAGGCCAAGGCAAGCAGATCACTTGAGGCCAGGAGTTCGAGACCAGCCTCGCTAACATGGCAAGACCCCATCTCTACTAAAAATACAAAAATTAGCTGGGCATGGTGGTGCACACCTGTAATCCCAGCCACTCAGAAAGCTGAGGCATGAGAATCACTTGAACTCAGGAGGTACACGTTGCAGTGAGCCAAGATTGTGCCACTGAACTCCAGCTTGGGTGACAGTATGAGACCCTCTCTCAAATTTTAAAAAAAGAAAATACTAATGAGAGTCCATAGCTAGAACAGACACTGAATAATTTTACCAAATTTTCAATTTCAAAAATTTTAAATAAAGTATTTGTACAAAGCAAACTGTGTCATCTCTACACATTTGAGAGATGTTGGGTGAGGTTAGGAGTTCAGACTGACCGTGGACCAGTGTAGAGCTAAAAATCATCTTCATAAACCACTTACAGTACTTTAACTTTTCTGATGAAAATATGAGACCCGGAGAAGTTATGCCCAACATCATAAAACCAGCCTAGGGGAGAATTAGAATTAAGTCAAAGGGTTTCTGACTTTCAGTTTACTTACTCAATCATGAGTAAGTGGCCTTATCAGCATCATGGCCTTATTAGCATCATGGTTATTAAATCAAACAACCAAGCAGAAGCTTTTCTAGAAATATGTATGTAACCAAAACCTTTCTTAAATATTTTAACAAAAATGTGTATTTAACATCAGAGATTTCAAAAGATATGTTACTCTAATTTTAGAAGTACTTAGCAGACATGTTCCCAAGCACTTTTCTATATTCTATTACCTCTGGTATGCTGCTGATTTTGCCTGATAACCTTCTTCTCTTTGTCAAACATAGAGCTGAATTCAACACACATTAACCCAATTTAGAATAACACTCCAAATAATTATCAGGAATGCCTACCAAACTAACCAAGGAATGGGAAATATCCTTCCTTGAACTGGCTATAATACAGATTTGAAAATAATTTAAAACATTTGAGTATCAAATTGATTCAAAATTGGGTAAAGTTAATCTTGGGGTTGGGCAGGAGAAACTTCTTAAACTACATTTTATTTCTTGTAGGCCATGATTTCACTCCCTCCTCCTAAAGGAAAAGTTTCCCTATGCTTGCATTAAATTTATTAAAAAATGTTAATAAAATATTGCTAGCCATATAATATGTTATATTGATAAAATACTACTTAAATAATATTTTCTATTTATGCATACTCTGGTTTCTTGTAGCAGAAGATGGTATTTGGAAAACAAGATCTGGGTGCTTAGTGTACTCACTGCAACCGGGGTGCCATTGTTTCTAGGTCCTCCCAGTGAACAAAGCTAGGGGATAAATGTATGCATATATGTACAGACACACACACACATATATATCATATGCATACTTAGAACCCGTGAGTTCATAATGATTCCAATACAACACCTTAGAGTTCTTTCTTGACTTTTGCTGTTCCATGATTGTAATTCCCTTTTTAGACAGACAGAAATCTAACTCCCATTATCTTCAAAGTATTTACTTATTTGTTCAATCAACTTATTTGCTCAATGTAACCAATCTACCAGTGTAACTATTCTGGTTACTCTTCTACATGCCACCTCTGTAGTCCTTCACCCCAACCACCTACTTCCTCAGACACTACTGCCAATAACCGCTGCTCTGCCCCTCACTCCTTGGTACTGCACTTCCTAGGTGTCTATATATCCAAACCAGGAGGGGAAGGGAATAAATGAACAGATGGGAAGGGAAGGAGATCAGTCATGGTTTTCCATTATTTGCCTTACTAGCTGATCTTACCCCTACAACCCACCCTTTAACATGCTCTCTTTCCACAACTCCATCTTAAAGAATGGATAGCTAGCGATATTTGCTTTTGCATATTTTACTTCATCATGAAACATAAGAACGCCCTAGAAGAAATAGCATTCAACTGTTAAACTTGACAATTTCCATCAATCTGCCAAAAAAAAAAAGCCATGATAAGAGACTATGTTAAACACAAAGATAACACAAGCAGGAAACACACACACACACACACACACACACACACACACACAAGATTAATCAAAGTTTTTTTGTTTCGTTTTTTGTTTTTCTTTTAGAGACAAAAGTCTCACTCTGTCACTAGACTGGACAGCAGTGGTGCTATCATAGCTCACTGCATCTTTGAATTCCTGGGCTCAAGTGATCCTCCCATCTCAGCCTCCCAAGTAGCCGGGGCTGCAGGCATGCACCAACAAGCCCAGCTAATTTTTTTTTTTTTTTTTTTTTTTTTTTTGTAGAGAGGAGGTCTTGCTATGTTGTCTAGGCTGGTCTTTTTTTTTTCTTTTTTTGAGGCAGAGTCTCACTCTGTCACCCAGGCTGGAGTGCAATGGCATAATCTCGGCTCACTGCAAGCTCTGCATCCTGGGTTCATGCTATTCTCCTGCCTCAGCCTCCTGAGTAGCTGGGACTACAGGTGCCCGCCACCACGCCAGGCTAATTTTTTGTATTTTTAGTAGAGACAGGGTTTCACCATGTTGCCAGGATGGTCTCAATCTCCTGACCTTGTGATCCGCCCGCTTCGGCCTCCCAAAGTGCTGGGATTATAGGCGTGAGCCACCGCGCCCGGTGCCTAGGCTGGTCTTAAACTCCTGGCCTTAAGCAATCCTTCCATCTCCGCCTCTCAAGTGCTAGTATTACAGGCATGAGCCACCACATCTGGCCACAAGTTATTAAAATATGTAGAAAGCACTTCTGTAGCATTCTATGTCACTTCATGATAACTTAGGGAATCCATAGAAGGATGCTCAATTCATGGCTACAAAAGCTCAGACAGTAAAAGTCTGCCCAGCAATTCATCAAGATTAGCTAACAGAGACAGATAAGGCCAGCTGTAAAATTAACAGGAAATGGTGCTTTTCCTAAATACACACTGCAACTGAAAAATGTCATAACAATCTCCTTCTTTGAGTGACTACTAAATTCTTACTTACTAAGATGACTTGTTGCCTAAAATCACAGATTATAAAAAAGTTTGTTGTTGAACATGTATCAGTAAGAACAAAACATCCCACTCTTGCCTAGAGCATCTAAGTCACTTTGACATAGAGAAGCAGCCTTGATTTTCAACCCAGGTACAAAGATATAAATACAGAGTTTCTGAACATAACATTTCAAATCTACGTTAACTTTGTAGTTTTCAAGACAACAAGATCCTGGGTCTACTTTGAAGGCCAGACCAGATGTTCACCCCATTATAAACAGCCCTGCTTTGTTTTGAGTCTACCAGAATACTGTTCCATTTAAATTTTACCTAAACTCTACCCTTCCTCCAAATTATTATAACTTTATCTTTTCTTTGGTTTGGTGAGATGGTCCCATGGTATCTGTTGGGCAATCTCTCTCAATGCAACAAGTCAATAAGCCTGACTTTGTCAGTCTGTAACTTTGTCCTTATAGGTCTTGGGCTGACTGGGCTGGACAAAATCAAAGTGACAGTTGCAGCCCAAACTCTTCATTCCTGTGGTTCATGATCATGCAAGTACACATAATTAATTATGTGTCATATAAGGACAGAGAAAAGTAATTAGCTGATTAAAGAAACACCATTTTAGCTATCCTAGAGAAAATTCATGAGACAAGAAAATATAAGTTTTATTTTCTTCATTAACTAATCAAAGGTTATACACCCCTTATATAGCCACTGGGTTAGCCAGCTAGAGAAAGATCCACTGATATAAAGTTGAGCAAATATCTTCCCTCATTGTTGGTCATGCCCAGTTCCACTGCCCTCCAAACTGCAAGAAACATTTTGACAATGAATCATTGATGGTCGTTGGAGAATGACATCAACATTCAGAGACTTTAATTATTTGTGGTATTGCCATGAAAGAAAGAAAATAAACAAACGAATAAACTCTTTGAACCACTTGGGAGAAAAAAGGAATCAATTTCCTAGAAAAGATTACTATGTGTAAATAACTCTCTATTGAGATTTGATAGAAAATACTTCTTCCACAGATATTTAACCCTTCAGTCATATAAAATACAAAAAATCACTGGAATTTAAACCCCAGACAAAACTTCTTTGGACTATAATTACTATAGTAGAACAGTAAATATTACCTTAAACTCTGACAACCATTCCTCCACAACCCCTTTCTCTGAAGTAAACATTTTTCCACATCTGTTCTAAACCTTCAACCTGAAAATTAACATAGAAAAATGTTAACGTTTTGAATACATTTAGTCAGATTACTATGAATAGAGATAATCCTATAAAGTTGTTACATCATATTTGTGAAATGAGTTTCAAACATAAATTACTAAATTCATTTCAAAACCAATGTGTACAAACAAGCCTTAAAATGCAAGAATTCTGACAAAAGCATAAATATCATAACATGATGAAATTGGCTCTGCAATTTTCCTTTGGTTTTCAGGAATGCCAGCTGCAAAACATACTGGACATTTTTCTCTAGTTTCAATAAAATAATTTCAAAAAGATCATTGAACTTAAAAAAAAGGCAGAAAATATTTCAAAACCGTGAAAATATAAGACATGCATCCAAAATTGACTTTATAGAAAGCATTAAAGTAATTTAATTTGCTTATATTTCAGTTCTTTACAACAGTAACTAGGCAAGCCATTTGGTTTCATGAAAGTGTAATACTCGTTTTTTAAAAAGTAAAAGTGACAATATTCAAAATGACCATATTTGACAATAGTTATTCAGAAGATTGGGATTTACTTAAGTATAAATTTAAAGAAACAAGCTAAAGGAAATGCAGAACAGTTTTATCTCAAGCAAAATGTCAAAATACAATGTATTTGTCTTTACCCATCCATTTGTATGGGAGGACACTTGGAAACTATTTCCTGATGGAAAAGTTGAGCTCTATCTGAATTTCCTAACTTCCAAATTCAGTCACAAATCCTTCATTAGGCTACTTAATTTTTATCAGCATTATAACGTAGTAGAAACTCAGGCAGAGTAGCCAGAAATGAATTCTGATTCTATTACTTACTTGCAGTACTACCTTGGGCAAGATATTTGCCTTACTTTTTTTTATCTGCAAAATAGGGATAACGATAGTACCTATTTGCAAGGAGTTATTGTGAGGAGTACATGTTAAAATGCAAATAAAAGCAGTTATTTCCATTTCTGGCAACAAAGTATTATTACTATGCAATATTATTATTATTAATTCTTATAAACTCTGCTCAACTGTCTAACAAAGTATCCAGATATGCCTTAATGAACAACACAGGTTCTAGTCAAAGAATACATTCTAAGGTTTCTGATGTCTAATTCTCATAAAATACATGATTAAAACATTTTTTTGGTCATTCATTCATTCGTAAAAGATTACTTGAGTAATATGAATTTTATTGTTAAAATAAAAAATATTCCTCCTTGGATCAAGTCAGACTAACAGAAAACCACATATATGTGGTGTATTATTGATTTTATAGAACTGTCTGTTTGGAGAAACTGGGCTTTGAAATTATGTCCAAAATGTTACCAAAGCACTGCTAGATCACATTTATCCTCCTTAAAAGCCAACAGAGTCTAGAAAATTCACATCTTAAGTTTGCAGTACCAGGAAAACCTCTCCTTTGGAGTAACTTGTTTGTTTTTATATTATGAATACTGTGAGTTTCATAACTGAGTCTCTTTGTCTTACTCTTATTTTCTGTCTGCCTGTATCTACGTTGTTTCATGTTGTTATGTATATTTGTAAAACAAAGCCAATATAAATGCACAAAAATTTTCTTTTGTATGAATTACATTGTTTAATAAATTAGGACAGAAAGTTATCACAAATGGAACCACACTACATCAAGTTACATAGAGCTGGGGAGGTAAAATTTTTACAAAAATTCACAATAACTCTCCAATTAAAATTAAGGTTAACTTTTTTTAAATTAAAAGAAATCAAGAGGAATACACAAGGAACCAAGAACAGTCAAGGGCTGTCTTGAAGAACAACAGCGCTGTGGAACCTGGACTTCCGATAGCAAAGCTCAGTATAAAACTTACCAAAAACTATGGTTGTGTTTGGGGTGGCACTGTCGGAAGGATAGAAATCAACCAATGGAACAGAATAGAGTGGCCAGAAATAGACCCACACATACATGGTCACCTGATTTATGACAAAAATAACACTGAAATTCAGTGAGGAAAGGATGATCCTTATAATAAATGGGGCTAGGTTATTTGGATAGCTACAAGGGGAGGACAAAAAGAACCATGACCCCAGAGATCATGCTGCAAAAACAAAAAAACAGTTTCAGTTGGATCATAGATCTAATTGTGAACAGTAAACCATAAGGCTTCTAGAAGAAAACGCAAGAGAGTACTTTCATATAGGCTAGGCAAAGGTTTCTTAAACAAGAGGCACAAAAGCACTAACCACAAGGAGGAAAAAAAGGATAAACCAGACTTCCTTGAAAGTAAGAATTTCTACTCCCCAAAAGACACCACTAAGAGAATGAAAAGGCAAAGCCATAGAGTGGCAGATGATATCTGCAATTCATATATATGACAAAAGTTTCATATCCAGAATATATAAAGAACTCATAAATTATTAAGAAAAAGGTAGACAATCCTATAGGAAAAACAAGACCATCATTTATTCAAATGGAAACTTAGCACATGAAACGTGCTCAACTTTGTTAGTCATCAGGGAAACGTCAGTTAAAACCCACAGTGAAATACAGCATACAGACACACACACATACACACACACACACACACGTGTAGCTAAAATGAAAGCCAGATCACACCAAGTGTTGAAAAAGATATGGAGCAATCAATATTCAGACACAGCTAATGTGAATGCAAATTGCTACAGTATAAAATTTACAAAATTTCACAATAACTCTCCAATTAAAATTAAGGTTAACTTTTTTTAAATTAAAAGAAATCAAGAGGAATACACAAGGAACCAAGAACAGTCAAGGGCTGTCTTGACTATACAACAAAATATAACTTTGAATGAATAAACTGTATCTGTGTTACGGTGTTGGATAAAAGAATGCAGGAAAAGAGAGTACATACTATATAATTCCATTTATGTAAATTTCAAGAACAGATAAAACGAATCCATTTGTGTTAGAAGTTGGGATGGTGGCTGCTCTTGAGGGGCCTATCTTGTCGGTTCTGGTAACATTCTGTTTCTTGATCTAGGTGCTGGTTACTCAGGTGTGTACATTTGGTGAAAATCTGCCAAGCTGAACACTCATAATTTGTACATTTTTCTGTGTGTATATTATACATTAGTAACACCAGTCAGCCCTGGGTCTCTTATCTTCCAGTTGATAGAGATCAAATGGGTACCCTCATTGTATAGCTGAGCTCACATGGACACTCACCTGTTTAGCATGCATGCAAGCTCAGAATAAAACTGTTCCTCCCCAAACTTCTCTGTCTCCTGTAGAACTCAAAAGGGAGTCTATGACATGCCTCCCTACCCTGAAAGTTTCACAGTCTCATCACCACTGTCTGCCTTAGGTCCACCAGGACTAAAGTCATTATTCCCTTCATCCCTGTTTATGTCCGGCACCACAAGAAGCTACAGACACCTAGGTGACATTCATCTCCCACACACTGTCATCATAACTCTTTGTACATCTTCTGTTTTGCTCCGATCTCCCATCCCCCATCCCATCCTAATTCTGGAAGGAGGATATACTTCTACTGTGTCCTCTGGAATTTAGAGTCTATTACCAGCAAAATCCTCTATATCTTCAACAGTTCTTCAAATGTTTTCTTCTTTTCATGAGACACTAGTTTCCCTGCATGCAACCTTACCAAATAGTGATTGCATTTCCTCACACATTCCTGAAAGAAACCACTGGGCCTAGAGGTAAAGTAGGTGTTCTCCTTCCTTCTTATTACCACTCAAGATCATTCTTTTCCTCCTTCAACCATCCACCCAAAGCTGCTTTGAAACTCTGTCACCATCATCTATCAATCAATCCACCCCAAGCCCTTGCCCTGCTTGGTCTCTCCCCTTCATTTCTGGATGATCTTAGCTCCTAGGTCACTGTCATGCTTTCAAACAACTCCTGCTTAAATCTTGGTGATTTTTTTCTTGCCTGAAGTGTTAATTCCTAGAAGTCTTAACTCCTAGATTTCTCCTCCTACACTATTATCTTCCTCCCTGCCTTAGCTACTCAATCCTATGATCATAATCTATGATCATAGCCTAGACCACCTGTTTTCAAACATTTTGGTAAGGTACTCTTTATACTATTAAATATTAAGCCAACCTGAAAGAATACCCAATGGCTAAAGCTGGAACAATCTGAGCAATAGAACAAATAATGTAGTATCGAATTATAACCCAAAGTGTAAAATAAATATACATGAGGCCATACTCATATAAATAAATGATTAAATAAATAAGAGAATAGGAGGTAAAGCTTCCTTACAGAAGAATTCCAAATAATAGATGTAGACACTATCTCTTCCAGGAGGTAGAGCTTAGTCCTTGCTTCGCCATTGAGAGTGCATTGGACATAGCTATTCACTTCCACAAAAATAGAGTATGGAAAGAAGAAAAGAGCAACTGTATAGTGGTGAAACCTGGCAAGCACTGCCTTGATCAAAGCTAACATCAACATGATGTCATGTGAATATCAAGTACCATCCAATATGATTACAGACATGAGCCACCATGCCTGGCCCCTGGTAAGTTCCTCTTAACTATAAAAGAAAGAATATTTTTAGAAGAGAAAGTATGGCTGGGTGCGGTGCCTCATGCCTGTAATACCAGCACTTTGGAAGGCTGAGGCGGGAGGATCACTTGAGGTCAGGAGTTTGAGAAAGCCTGGCCAACACAGTGAAACTCCTCTCTACTAAAAATACAAAAATTAGCCAGGCGTGGTGGTGTGTGCCTGTGATCCCAGGTACTTGGGAGGCTGAGGCAGACGAATCACTTGAACCCGGGAGGCAGAGGTTTCAGTGAGCCGAGATCGCGCCACTGCACTCCAGCCTGGGTGACAGTGCGAGACTCTGTCTCAAAAAAAAAAAAAAAAGAAAGAAAGAAAGAAAAGAAAATATACAAACATTAAAAATGAAGCCTGAAATAGCAATGCATTATGTAAGAAAGAGAACAATGGAATTCTATAAAGTGTAGGATAATTTTGTTATTTTAGATTCAGGAGGTACATAAGCAGGTTTGTTACATGGGTAT